AAAAAAAAAAAAAAAAGAAAAATAGTATTAACTACTATCCTCAACACTTTTGTTTTCGGAAGTCTAAGTCATTCGTATAACACCAATACTTTAAAAAAAAAAAAAAATAGGAGAAACACCCGAAAGTTAATCTAAATATTATATCTCTCCATCGTATAAAAGTTAACACAGTCCATATAATAGAAGAGGACAAACTGCAAATAGTCAACAGTCAAGGAATTAGGAACTAGGGCTTTTTAAACGCTTAAATAGAGTGAGAGCGAGGAAAAAAAAAGGATTATTTACTTAATTTAATGAAAAACACAAATTTTACGAGGTAGTTGTAATTTTCTTCTTTCACTTTAGTTTTATTCATGGTTAAGAATCCCACCCATTCCTTCGCTTATATTTCACTACATCATCTATATAAGAAAGAAAACAAAAAACTCATAAAAGGGCAAAAATGTAATTTTACCTTTCCTAGGAAATCTCTTACTGCTTCTTGAGAAAATGTAATCAAAAACAGTGCCACAAAAAGCAGAAAAATAAAATTTGGGAATAAGCATAATGGCTAAAAAAAAAAAAAAAAAAACATTTTGGTCTTTCTCTCTTTCGTTCTTTCATTATTGTTCTACTTATATCTACCCTGATCGTCACGTAAACTACAAATGAATAAAGGATACCGATAAAATAAAAAGAACAGGTGTCAATAGAAAATGCTTAGATTCTCTCACCCAGCCTCAAAAAAAAAAAACCTTCGGAGTCCCATAAATCATTTTCCAAGAGTATACAAATAAAAAAGAAACGTTTTCTCGTCTATTTTCAATAAATGTGCAAGAGAATAAAATATAAACTTTAATAGGTACTCTGCAGTTCTAACAGTCATGAAACAAACAAAAAAAAAAAATACGGATGATTCTAAAATTTATAAACACACTAATTTCAAACAAAATGCGAATCTTCTTTTAACAAAAATTCAAAATTCCCCCAATAACAATAATAAAAATACAATTAATAATAATAACAATAAGTGGTGTTTGTATTCCTTTCCTTCCCCCGACCGGGTGAACTTGTCGCAGGGAAAACGGAGAAAACGCCAACGTTCAAATAAATAAATAAAACGCCGAACCGGGAAA